GTTTCTGTTGTCTGAGCCACAAAGTTGGCAGAACTGTTAAAGTGGCTCCAGGACACTGAGGCAGTGACTAATGTTTCTCAGCAGTGTTTGCGGGCCGGGCGCGGTGGCTCACGCCTGTAAGCCCAGCACTTTGGGAGGCCGAGGCGGGTGGATCACGAGGTCAAGAGATCGAGACCATCCCGGTCAACATGGTGAAACCCCGTCTCTACTAAAAACACAAAAAATTAGCTGGGCGTGGTGGCGCGTGCCTGTAATCCCAGCTACTCAGGAGGCTGAGGCAGGAGAATTGCCTGAACCCAGGAGGCGGAGGTTGCGGTGAGCCGAGATCGCGCCATTGCACTCCAGCCTGGGTAACAAGAGCGAAACTCTGTCTCAAAAAAAAAAAGAACACTGTGCATTTTAAATAAATATATTTATGGTATTATCTCCAAGTCTCAGAATGACATAAATAATATTTTTGATATTCATGTTGTCCCAACAAAGAAAAGTGGGTCCTGTCAAATAAGTGCAGTGGTTTAGGGCTGTGCCCAAAGGATGGAGGGGTCAGAGTGGCCACAGAGAGAGGATGGAGGGGTCAGAGGGGCCAGAGAGAGGATGGAGGGGTCAGAGGGGCCACAGAGAGAGGATGGAGGGGTCAGAGTGGCCAGAGAGAGAGGATGGAGGGGTCAGAGTGGCCACAGAGAGAGGATGGAGGGGTCAGAGGGGCCACAGAGAGAGGATGGAGGGGTCAGAGTGGCCACAGAGAGAGGATGGAGGGGTCAGAGGGGCCACAGAGAGAGGATGGAGGGGTCAGAGTGGCCAGAGAGAGAGGATGGAGGGGTCAGAGTGGCCAGAGAGAGAGGATGGAGGGGTCAGAGTGGCCACAGAGAGAGGATGGAGGGGTCAGAGGGGCCAGAGAGAGGATGGAGGGGTCAGAGGGGCCACAGAGAGAGGATGGAGGGGTCAGAGTGGCCAGAGAGAGAGGATGGAGGGGTCAGAGTGGCCACAGAGAGAGGATGGAGGGGTCAGAGGGGCCACAGAGAGAGGATGGAGGGGTCAGAGTGGCCACAGAGAGAGGATGGAGGGGTCAGAGGGGCCACAGAGAGAGGATGGAGGGGTCAGAGTGGCCAGAGAGAGAGGATGGAGGGGTCAGAGTGGCCAGAGAGAGAGGATGGAGGGGTCAGAGTGGCCAGAGAGAGAGGATGGAGGGGTCAGAGTGGCCACAGAGAGAGGATGGAGGGGTCAGAGTGGCCAGAGAGAGAGGATGGAGGGGTCAGAGTGGCCAGAGAGAGAGGATGGAGGGGTCAGAGTGGCCAGAGAGAGAGGATGGAGGGGTCAGAGTGGCCACAGAGAGAGGATGGAGGGGTCAGAGGGGCCACAGAGAGAGGATGGAGGGGTCAGAGGGGCCACAGAGAGAGGATGGAGGGGTCAGAGGGGCCACAGAGAGAGGATGGAGGGGTCAGAGTGGCCACAGAGAGAGGATGGAGGGGTCAGAGTGGCCAGAGAGAGAGGATGGAGGGGTCAGAGTGGCCACAGAGAGAGGATGGAGGGGTCAGAGTGGCCACAGAGAGAGGATGGAGGGGTCAGAGTGGCCACAGAGAGAGGATGGAGGGGTCAGAGTGGCCACAGAGAGAGGATGGAGGGGTCAGAGTGGCCAGAGAGAGAGGATGGAGGGGTCAGAGTGGCCAGAGAGAGAGGATGGAGGGGTCAGAGTGGCCACAGAGAGAGGATGGAGGGGTCAGAGTGGCCAGAGAGAGAGGATGGAGGGGTCAGAGTGGCCAGAGAGAGAGGATGGAGGGGTCAGAGTGGCCAGAGAGAGAGGATGGAGGGGTCAGAGTGGCCAGAGAGAGAGGATGGAGGGGTCAGAGTGGCCAGAGAGAGAGGATGGAGGGGTCAGAGTGGCCATAGAGAGAGGATGGAGGGGTCAGAGTGGCCACAGAGAGAGGATGGAGGGGTCAGAGTGGCCAGAGAGAGAGGATGGAGGGGTCAGAGTGGCCACAGAGAGAGGATGGAGGGGTCAGAGTGGCCAGAGAGAGAGGATGGAGGGGTCAGAGTGGCCAGAGAGAGAGGATGGAGGGGTCAGAGTGGCCAGAGAGAGAGGATGGAGGGGTCAGAGTGGCCAGAGAGAGAGGATGGAGGGGTCAGAGTGGCCACAGAGAGAGGATGGAGGGGTCAGAGTGGCCACAGAGAGAGGATGGAGGGGTCAGAGTGGCCAGAGAGAGAGGATGGAGGGGTCAGAGTGGCCACAGAGAGAGGATGGCAGGCAGTGATAATGGACACAGACCACGTCACAGGGCCTGCACTTGGCAATGCACCTGCAGGCTGCACATCCCGTTCTCCCGATTCTGAGGTTTCCCAAAGTGTTTCCTTCTCACGAATAAGTTCCCTAGCAGAATTATTTACATAGGCTTGAAAACCTGGCACAATCATATCCATCCTCTTCAAACTTTACAATGACTTGTGAGAACCAAGTGGACAGTGTTGCAAAAGCTTTAGTCTTCTTGAAATAAAAAAAAAAAGAATATGTAAGTGTGTTATTGCCACAGTCATAATTTTGAGTTAGGAGACTGGGAAACAAGGAATAACATTTGTCTATAAAAAGGCATTTATCTGAGAGGGATCCTTTAAAATGCCCTCACCGCCCCATGGCTGATCCTCCACAGTGTGAAAATGCAAATTGCATTTAACAAGCAATGATGTTTCATGAATATCTGTTAAACAGCAAACTGTTGACACTTGAACTGATGCTGGATGTGGCCTGAAAGGCACACACGCAACAACACAGCCCAGCTTCCGGCAGGGCATGACCGCGTGTGGGCTCCAGCTACCACGCTCCCGTGTGTGCATGTGAAATCAGCTACCATGCTCCCGTGTGTGCATGTGAAATCAGCTACCACGCTCCCGTGTGTGCATATGAAATGGGAATTTTTTATTATCCAGAGGACATTTTCCTTACCAGTGTAATTATACAAATGATTGAATATGGCTGTAAAACTTTTTAAAAATATGAGTTCAGAGATCGATTATAATTTCTTCAAGAGCCACAGTAACACACAGCACAGGAATTGCTCAACAGTCTCTTCAAATCTACTGTCTCCTTCTATTTGGCACTTTCCTGAGCTAGTATTTGCTTGCAATCAATTTCAAAACCCCCTGAGCTAGTCGTGCCCAACTTAACTTAGCACCAGGAAGGGAGAAGCAGTGACCTTTGGGACTGAAATGCCAGAGCAGGCCTCCCTGTGGCTTCAGGCAGCCTTAGACCCCAAAGGTCTGCTGGTGCATCGCAGCCCCTAAGACAGGGAATTACATTACCAGTATAGCTGCCTCTTCATTGGGAGCAAGCCTCCCAAAACGTTTCCCTTTGTGCTGCTTCCACAGTTCATTTAAATGAATTGTGGGGTTCCATTATTTAACACTGTCATTGTTTAATATTCAAACACAGATCCTGTTTCTCAACCTTTCCACCACGACGCCCATAGAGAATCTTTTGCTTTTCTCCCTTAATGGAGTAGCTTTTTCAGGACTTCTCTTGATGTGTAAATACATGTGTGTGCCTCAATTCATACATGTATGCAGATCCATATATACTTAGCTTCTTTTTCTTTTATTTTCTTTTTCCTTTTTTTTTTTTTTTTTTTTTTAGACAAGAGTTTTGCTCTTGTTACCCAGGCTGGAGTGCAATGGCATGATCTCGGCTCACCGCAACCTCCGCCTCCTGGGTTCAGGCAATTCTCCTGCCTCAGCCTCCCGAGTAGCTGGGATTACAGGCACACGCCACCACGCCCAGCTAATTTTTTGTATTTTTAGTAGAGACGGGGTTTCACCATATCGACCACAATGGTCTCGATCTCTTGACCTTGTGATCCACCCACCTCGGCCTCCCAAAGTGCTGTGATTACAGGCGTGAGCCACCGCGCCCGGCCAGCTTCTTTTTAATTAATAACATTTATTGAAAAGCAAAGCTGAGTGTCCTGCCATCAGCCTATTTCTGATCATTCTGAAGTAGACTTCCTTGAATTCACTGCACATCATTCTCAGTGACAGTATGCCTACAGATACTTTACCAGAATAAAATAATTTAGTAGGTTTGCTTCTTACTGCAATTGGTAGATAGATACAGATATATAGAAGAGATAACAAAAAGTCTCTGGCCAGGTGCATGGCTCACATCTACAGTCCCAGCACTCTGGGGGTCCCAGGCGGGTGGATCACCTAAGGTCAGGAGTTTGAGACCAGCCTCTCCAAGACAGCTGTGCCAAGAATTAAGACTGGACTTTAAAGATATTTACCATTAATTCTCAAAACTGACATCTTAATCTAGTAACCAATAAAATAAATTATTGGAGAATTTTAAGAGCCAACAAATTCTTCAGACCACTAAACAATAAGATCAGTAGAAAAGCTGACCCCGCCTTCAGCTGCACCCCACACTCTGCCAAAAGAAACTCAGTTGCAAAATAGAGGACCCTGGGAACAATGAAACAGCAAAACCAAAAAACAACAACGTAACACAGAGGACAAAAAGCAAAACAAAACACTCAGATACATTCACGGGCACAACAACTATTTGAGTACAGGATTTTGAATATGCATATAATGATCATTTGATAAAATCAGACTGGTAGGTGATTACTGTGCTCGATCATTGAGAAAGAAACTCGAAGTTAAAGATCAAACTCAGGTAAGAAAAGGAACTGAAACTCCAAGGACATGTCACAGCAGCCTCTTACGTGTGGGTTCTCAGTTATACTGGATGCTTCTTGGGCATGTGGAAATCTGCAGAACTCTCCCCACCAGCAACACTGGTTTGTATAAATACGGTCAGTAGTGAGTGAGGTTAAGTCTATAACCAGGTTTACAGACATTATGCAAACACGGCCTGGATTCAAAAATACAAATTAATTCTAATCATCCCTCTCCCATACCAATTAAAACACTAAAACATGTTTTCACTTTGAATTAGTTGTTTTGTCTCAAGTATCATTTATGTGTCACGGTTGCCTCTTTCAGCAGCTTCCTACCTGCAGACGTTGTCACGATTTCTGTGGTGTTTCGGAGGCCCATGAAGTCAAACTGATACAGCCGCCATGATTTCTGGTCAGCTGCCTCCACTGAATTTTTCCTCCATCTGTAAATCATTTCTTCTTTGGGATAGCCATCTAAAAATACAGAACAAACGTTAACCCTTGAAGGTACACATGCATTAATCATTAAAGTAAAAATTACAATTCTGATCAATTAGTAGGAGTTACACTTTTAGGCCACGTGTGCTCTCTAAACTTTCCTCCGCGACACAGAAACTGGACAAATGAATGGCCAAATGCCACCTAATCCTGCTGCAGAGCTTCACGAACGGCCAGGTGCTCCCCAGCAGAGGCCTGAACACTGACATCACACAGGGAGCGGTGTTTTCATTTCTTTAACCCTGGGGAGCCGCAGCTGCAGTGGCCCTTTAAGCAGTAGCGGTGCTTGTCAATGGCTCCCAGCCTCTGAGCCCTCTCTGTGCAGATGTAACTATGAAGCCCACACACATACACCTTCCACCCTTCCCCACAATGTAGTCCATCGAGATCTCAGGAAAGAGGAACTCAGTAAGGTAATCGCCAATTCAATAGATTCGAAAGACCCTTCCTCCTATCAGTTTCCAGCGTTGATAGGTGAATGTTGACCTGCTTCAGGGACCCCTTCTCACGTGGTTAATTACTCCAGGGAGCGTGAGCCTGGCGTTTCTGCTGCCTGTGGCCCAGGTTGGCACCTGCCTAGATCATGACATCACGCAGGTGCCCTGCCCCACTCCTGTGAGTGCTGTCACCAGGGCTCCCTGGCTCCCTGAGCTGGAGCTGGATATTTCCCCAGATGCCTGCTTTTCTGCCTGCATCTACACTCCTGCATTCCCTACTTCTGATGCTTGGGACAACACCATCCCGTCAGCTGGAGCTCTGTGACCTGTGCACCTGCTCTCTTTGTATTGCCCAATCTGCAGGCTCTGCGGCTGTGTCTGCCCCACAGGGCACATCCTACTCTCAAGAACAAGTTGAGGCCTTGTGTCACTGGCGACACGTGACAGCACTGGCCTTCTCAGTCTTCACTGATTCATAGAGACACGGATTGCATGACTCTGAAAGAAACGTGTGCACCATCTTGACGAGTTACCCCAAATGCTAAAAGCACTGCCTTGTGCACATATATGTATGCAAACATATTAATAAAGTGGCTGAAATGTGCTGATTAAACATTTAAATCACTTTGCAAAATTCTTAAAGGCAATCTGCCTTCTCCATTTTTTTTCCCTTTCTGCCTGACGTTGCTGGCTTGGCTCCATCATTGGAAGACTGGAGTAAAGCACAGGCATGCCCCGCTTTCTGATTGTGAATGAAATTGCTGTCAACACAGCAGGGACACATGCTCTCCCCTAACCTGAAAATGCTGAGCTCAAGGTACCTGGAGCCAGCCTGAAGCATTTCTATGAAGTACGAACACTGTACTTGGTCCAACTGCTTTCTAACCGCATTAAGCTGTCATAATCACAAAAGTTAATTCTTCCTTTTTAACTTTGTTTTGAAATTACCTCTATTTGAGATATAATGCACATACATAAAATTCACACAGTCAATGTGTCCAAATCAGGGGTTTTTCACATATTCTCTGAATGGTAGAACCATTACCCTAATCTAATTTTATAATATTTTCATCACCAAAATGACCAATATGACCTGACCAAGGAGTGGTCACTCCCATTTTCCCCCTTTCCCTCCCCACACCCACTACCCATCTCACCTAGTCCTAGGCAGTCACTTACATATTGTCTGTCACACAGTTTTGTCTATTCTGGACATTTTATATAAACGGAATCATACGATATGTGAGCTTCTGGATATAGCTTATTTAACTTAGGATAATGTGTTCAATATTCACTCCTATTGCAGTGCATTTCAGTATTCCATTCTTATTTATTGTCAAATTATATATATATATATATACTTTCTTTTTTTTTTTTGAAATGGAGTCTTGCTCTGTTGCCCAGGCTGGAGTGCAGTGGTGTGATCTTAGCTCACTGCATCTACCTCCTGGGTTCAAGGAATTATCCTGCCTCAGCCTCCTAAATAGCAGAGATTACAAGTGTCTGCCACCATGCACAGCTAATTTTTTGTACTTTTTGTAGAGATGGGATTTCACCATGTTGATCATGGTAGTCTCGAACTCCTGACCTTGTGATTTTGCCCACCTTAGCCTCCCAAAATACCAGGATTACAGGCATGAGCCACCACACCGGCCTCAAATAATGTTCTATGGTACAGATATACCATATTTTGTTTATCCATTCATCAGTTGATAGACATTTTGGTTGAGTCCATTTTTTCACAATTACAAATAATGTTGTCATGGGCATTTGAGTACATGACTTTGTGTTGATATATCTTTTCAGGTCTCTTGGTTACACACCTAGTAGTGGAATTGTTGAGTCTGAGTAACTATATTTAATATGTTGAGGAACTGCCAGATTGTCTTCCAAACTGGCTGGAACTTAAAATCCTATCAGCAACGTACAAGGGTTTCAATTTCTCCATATTTCAATTTCTCTACAACACTTGTTAGTGTCTGTATTTTTAGTGATAACAGTGGTAGCAGGTGTGAAGTGGCTCTCATCATTGTTCTGACTTGTATTTCTTCAGTGAGTGATAACACTGAGCATATTCTCAGCTTTTATTGGCTATTTATGTTTTCCTTGGTGAAGTGTTTGTCTAGATCTTTTGCTGATTTTTTAATTGGGTTGCCTTTATATTGTTGAGTTTTAAGAGTTATTTGTATAGTTGGGTACAAGTCCTTTATCAGATATATGTTTTAAAATATTCTCTCCCTTTATGTGGTTCATCTTTTCTTTTGAAGCAACTGGAATTTTTAAATTATGGGAATATATAAATAATGTAAAGTCTATCACTGGCATCATTTGACTGCACAATTTGGTGGCATACAGAACATTCCCAATGTCAGGCAGCCACGCCAGCATCCATCTCCAGAATTCCTTTTCTCTATAATAGAATTTATTTTTGAGTGTACTGCTACTCACAGCAAAACGCAGTGGAAAGTAAGGAGATGTCCTGCATGCCCTCTGCCCCATCATCCACATCCTCTGCAGAACGGCACATCGGTTACAACTCATTAGTCATATTGTTATTACCAAGAGGCCACAGTTTACCTCGGGATTTACTGCCCGTGCTGTGTATCCTGTGGGTTTGGACAAATGTATAATGACATGCGTCCACCACTGTGGTATTGTACAGGGTATCTTTCTCGCCCTACAAGTCCTCAGTGCTCCACCGATTCACCTCTCCCTCCGCCCTCCCCCACAGCAACTACTGAGTGTTTTACTGTCTACGTGGTTTTTCTTTTCTAGAGTGTTTTAAGGTTGGACTCATGCAGTACGTGGCTATTCAGGTTTGTCTATTACTAATACGGATTTGTTTTTTCCCTGTCTTCATGGCTCAATTGCCCTTTACTGTCCCCACTTTACAAAAAAGAAAGCTGAGGCACCGAGACAGTAAGTCATGTACGTGAGGAAGACAGAGTATAAGGTTAGGGTGTGTGACTTTACTGTCCCCACTTTACAAATCAGAAAGCTGAGGCACCGAGACAGTAAGTCATGTACGTGAGGAAGACAGAGAGTATAAGGTTAGGGTGTGTGACTTTACTGTCCCCACTTTACAAATAAGAAAGCTGAGGCACCGAGACAGTAAGTCATGTACGTGAGGAAGACAGAGAGTATAAGGTTAGGGTGTGTGACTAAGCGTCCATCCCTTCACCCTCTGCACAACACTGGTCTTGTCTGTTCTTCTGATTGTCATGTTCCCCAAATCCAAGTTCCTCAACTTAGAAAGATTTTCCTCAAAGTACATTCCCTAGCATGGAGCACAAGAGCCTCCCTTCTAATAAATCCACTTTTCTTGGAGTACAGAGGTGAGTGCTTCCAAACTGCTTGTTGTCCTCACCTTTATGGAAATGCAGGTAATGTTTCCAAACAACGTTAAGTATTACCGATCATTTAGAAACCGCCTGTCTTCCACGGTTTTTGCAAATACTTGATGGAAACACTTCTGTTCTTTGCGGGGCTTCCTTTTATTATTTTTTTTTTTGAGACGGAGTTTCGCTCTTGTTACCCAGGCTGGAGTGCAATGGCGCGATCTCGGCTCACCGCAACCTCCGCCTCCTGGGTTCAGGCAATTCTCCTGCCTCAGTCTCCCGAGTAGCTGGGATTACAGGCACGCACCACCGTGCCCAGCTAATTTTTGTATTTTTAGTAGAGACAGGGTTTCACCATGTTGACCAGGATGGTCTCGATCTCTTGACCTCGTGATCCACCCGCCTCGGCCTCCCAAAGTGCTGGGATTACAGGCGTGAGCCACCGCGCCCGGCCCCTTTGCGGGGCTTTTTATAAAACACTTCCTACTCTTGAGACGCCTTCAGGGTCCCCAAACCAAGGTCGTTTTCATCAGAGATGGACACGCCACAGAGCTAACTGAGCTGGGACCACACAGCCCTTGCTCGCACGGGCCCTTCCAAAGCGCTGGACGGGCACTGCAGCTTTCTCGTGGATCATTCTGAATCGTTAGAAAAGAACTCCTGCCCCATTTGTTTCCTCTCTTGGTATTTTTTGCTGGATGTTTGACATACTGAATTTAACATTTTTATATTAAATTAATCATTAATTTCTGTGTTTATCTTTGTACTTATGTTTACATAATACTTCCCTGAAACATGCTCAGATATTTTTACACGTAATTTGTTAGTTATTCTGAAATTATTTTGGTCTGGGCCTTTCTACTGACTGCCAATCGTGTATTTTATTTGTGTGATATAAATATATTTGTTATATATAAAAATATATATATTTGTGTGGTAACAAATTTATTTGCATGATATTAACAAACACTACTTGTCATCAAATTCTTAAAGAAGAAAATGCCTGTGGCTAGGAAAATGAAGTCTTCTCATCAGCAAAAGGAATCCCTAATCTCCATCAGTCTGTCTGCCTGGCCTCACATGGTGGCACTGTGGCTGAAGTTGGCCCTGGGGGGCTGGCCCATTCCCTGGCTCCTGTGATGGAGAAGTCCCACTTCAGAGTCTGTGTAAACCCTATGAAGCAAGGCATTTCCTGGTCTTT